CCGAGGTGGCTTGGGCAACACTACCTGTCCCTCGTCTGCACTTGCACAGCATTCTGAGCATCCTTGTGTTGTGGCACCTGCCGCAAACCCACCAGCCCATCAGTACGAGCTCTGTCTTGCCCAGGGCTCTCAGCTTGGAGCCCTGTGCTGAACAAGGGTCTGCAGGTGGCTTATCCCAGGTTCCTGCCCCTCAGCCTGGCCCTGGGCAGCCTCCCCGCTGAACCATCACGTGACTGACAGCACATCCTGCCCTCACACCTGGGCGGGCGGGGTGGCAGGGCGGGCAGGAGCTTGCAGAGCCTCCAGAAGCTCTTCTGCGAGTCTTGTGCACGATGCAGACTTCATCAGTGTCGTGGGGGCTGCCTCCAGGCTGGGGACCCCGCTGTGGGGCCACTGTTTAGATCCAGTCCCAGCAGGGTGGCCAGCGTCTTCTGGTGAGGATGGTGGCCGTGGAGCAGGCTCTGTGACTGTGACATTGTGCTGTTGGCCTCCTCAGACCCTGCGGGTCACCCTAGAAGAAGTCAGAAGGAGCCGGAGGGAGCCTGAGAATTGGGTCAGATTTTCGCTGAAGGAAACCTGGAAGCCCTGTCGTGTCAGCTGCCCCCAGTCTGAGTCCTTCACCCAGGCGGGTGCTGCAGTGGCATTTTCTGTGCTGAGCGCGACCTTCTGGGGGCACAGAAGCAGGGGGCACTCAGCCTCATTCAGGTACAAGCGCTGAGAAACTTGCGAACAGCTCCTTCTCTGTTGCAGTTCCAGCTGCCGCAGGCTTCAGGCCCTCAGGCCTGGACAGGAAGTCTACATCTCCCTTTTGCCACCTCTGTGGCCCTGGGCAGGTGACGTCACCTCCTGCAGCGTGTGGGCATGGTTCTTCCTTTGGCTGCTGTGCGGGTGGAGGTGATGGCTGCCCCGCGTGTTGGGCGGCGCAGCCTGCGGTGGGCACCGCCGCTCTGGGGTGTGGTTGGCGGGATGGCTGCTGGTGCCATGACGGGGTTGTGCAGGGTTCAGCTTTTTAGAGCGCGGTCTATTTTTTTTCCTTCAATTAAAAATAATAATAAGGTGTTTTGTTTTTTTTAAAATCATAATTGATCTATGAGGCTTAGGGAGAAAATTCTCTGGGGGCAGGATCCAGATGTCACGTTCACGCTGTTTCCTGGCCGTGGAAAGCCCCGCCTCGTTCAGGATGGTGGCTTGGGAGCGGGCTGCATCCGTTCCACTGGGGGTGCTCTCTGTTGCGAAGCAGAGAACAGGCTGGTGTTCTGCCTGGTCACACGGACTCCCGGATGGTGCACCACACACATTCCGAACACCCGTCTCCTAGCTATCAATTACCTCCCAATGAAAGTTCAATTTAATTATACGCGGACAGTCCTTCCAAATCCAATGCCTTGACTTGTGTTTAAATGCCATCATCACGGCTTCCCTGGTGAGGTTATCAGCTGCTCAAAGACTGAATCATGCAATATGGTATTTTAAAAACCAGTGCTTTTTTTAATAGACTCTTTAAAAATCACAGCACCTTTTTTAGTGCCAGCTCTTGACTATTATTGTCACATTTGGCCATAAAATTAAACACGAAAATTGGCATTCAGTAGTGGCATTAATTTTTATTTAACTCTGACTCATCAAAGATGAACAGGATCGCTAGTGGCAGGGGCTGTCTGGGGAGGGGCTGGGAACGTTGGGGAAGCCGGTCAGCAGGGCCCGTGACGCCCACAGCTCGTTCTGAACACGCTCAGGTGAGCTCACCTGCGCAGCTCCCGGTCTTTCCATCTGTAATGACGAAGAGATAGTCACGGCAGCAGCTGCTATTTGGAGAGTGCTCTTCGTGGACTGGGCACTGTGCCGGCCCCGTGTATCTGCAGTCTTCTTTAATCTGCATGGAATCTTACAAAATGGGGTTTATCAGCCACAAACCCAGGCAAAGAAGCTGGACGGCAGTGCTTTGCCCTGTGAGGCCTCCCCAGCGTGAGGCGGTGTGTGTCTGTCCTGGAGGGCACATGCCAGGAGGGGCCATGTGGCGCCTCCTGGGAGAGCAGGTGTCGGCGGCGTGTTTTATAAGATCGAGCAAGTCCTGTCCTGGGAGGCGGGTGGGGAGCCCAGGACTCTCCTCCACCTGCGATTCAGGTCTGGACCTTCAGCTCAGCTGGAGGGATCCTCCCAATGTGCCAAGCACGTAGGCACACTTTATCACGCTTCTTACAGAGTGGCCTGTGACCTGTTTTGCAAAGAGGGCAGACCGTAGGGAAGTCGTGGCATGGGTGGGAGGTTCGCAGGTGGCTGAGTTAGCCCCCCGGGCCCTGCTTCTCTGGGGCCGGCAGTGGCCCTGCCGCCCGCTGCCCATCCCCTGTGCAGCTGGCCGCGCCCTGGCCTTCCTCACACGTCTTTCTGTTTGTGAGCACTGGACCAGGTCCGGAGACCAGTCCTCGCCCTGGGCAGCCACTGAGAGCAGACCACACAGCATGTGCTCGGCACCGCGCCCTCCCTTGATTGACACATGAGCAGAAACGTTTGAGAGCAGCGTGTGCTGGTGATGGCCTTTCACAGCTGCACCATCTCCGTGTGGCGCGGCCCCCTGGGCAGAGGCGTGCTGCCCGTGCCCCTGAGCCCCCGGGAAGGACGCCACCATCTCTGGCGCTGCTGCCCACAGAGGGCAGGTGCCAGCCCCCGGGCCGTGCCCACACTTGCCCTTTTTCCTTTTCCTGTTATTGCCAAAATGAACATTTGCCGATTTTGCTGTGATTTCCCAGAGGATCAGCCACGTTCTTCAATGGCTCTTTGGATGCTTTCTGGTGAGGAACTGCGCAGATATCCTCAGGCTGTTACCCCGTAAGGGGCTCGCGAGAACCAGCATGAGGCCAGGCGAGAGAGTGCGCTGCGAAGTCGCTGTCGCCAGGCACGCGGCTGTGTCCCCGTGGAGGCCACGCGGGGCAGGTGTGGAGTGCTGTGGCTCCGATGCAGGCTTCAGATTTGGTGGCTCCACTGTTCTTAAGAGAAACTGCTAATGGAGAAAACATGATGGAGTCGCCCAGGGCATGAGGCTGACCTCTCGCTGGGCTGCAGGAGACAGGGTCAGCCCGACGGCGGCCCTGCCTGTTTTCAGTGGTGCTTCCACAATGGGATGCACCTCAGGGGCCGGACAAAGGGGACTGAGTGCATTATCATACAGCTGTTTCATAGGACGTTTGCAGACTAACCTTTAATGGCGTGAAAGCGTTCATAGTATAAGAATAAAACCAGCCTTTAAATTATGAGTATGTATACATATAGTAATTACACAATGACATATATACACATATACCATTACTTAAACTACATTAAAGTACAACTGAAGAAAAGGCTATCAAACTATTAAAATCAGAGTGCAGGTTTCTGAGTGCCTTGTTTACTTTATGCTTTTCTCTCTTTCCCAGTTTTTTTCAGTATCTGCTTTTGTAATCGGAACAGAGCAGTCCGTGATTTTAGAGTGTGGTTCTTGCTACGAGACACTCTGTCTTCCGGACCCACGCCGGTGCCTGGGGTGCCGAGCCGCGAGCACCGTGTGCTGCCCGGTGCCGTGGGCTTAGCCGCCCTCCACCACTTCTTCCCGCGCGGTCGCATCTTTGAGCCCTCTCCTCTGGGCTCAGCCTTGTGTTAATACGCCCTGGACACCAGCCCCTCCTGGCCGTGAAAGGGAGCGGCCCCGAAGGCCGGCGCAAGCCTGCCGGGTCTGGCCGGGCAGCCCAGTGCCGTCTGTGCAGCCACGCTGGCCCCCGCCTTCCCCGCTCCCTGCCACTCCCGGGCCCCACCCCGTTGGAGCCTGTGCTGCGGGGGCAGGCCCGGGAACTCCCTCCCGCCCCTCCCCGCCCGCCTGCCCCGCCTGTGTGGCGCCCCTGCTTTGAGTGCTGCTGTGTGCTCAGAGGGGAGGCTTCAAACCCATGTGACTGTCGCGGCCAGGAGTGGCAACGGGCCGGCTGCCGTGAATTCGAGCGCCAGGCACGTGTGCTGTGTGTCTCCTACTGACCCAGGGTGGCAGACCCTGGAGGCGCCGCTGGCCGCAGGGGCAGGTCCGGAGGTTGGGCAGCTGCGAGGGCACCGAGCGGGCCCTGGCTCTGCGTTCATTCCCTCGGTGAATTGTTGGTGCGGGGCTGCGGCGTTCAGGCGCTGTGCCCGGCCTGGGAGACCCCAGTGAGCTGGGCCGGGAGGACCTGTGCCTGGGGGTTAAGCCCAGCAGGACCGATGGATAGTTAAGCCCTAAACCAAATATTTACAGCTCATGGCAGATGCTGTGGCAGAGCTGAACCGCATGCTGCCGTGGAGGAGGGGGCAGGAGACCGGGGAGAGCGTCACTGTGTGTAGAGCAGGCGGCCCGGGAAGGAGGCAGGGCTCCGGCTGTGCCAGGTCCGAGGAGAGCACTCCTGGCATGGGGCAGAGAGCACGCGGGCTGCGGTGGGCGGGGGCTGGCGAGCCATGGACACTGCCAGGGCTCAGGGGGCGAGGCTCAGCCAGCAAAGTGGGGTCCTCACAGAGGACGTGGCACTTCGACAGAAGCCGGGACCAATGGACTGATGGGTGCGGGGGGCCAGCGGGCCGTGGTGTGTGTGAGCCAGTCTCTCTGGGCGAGGAGGAGGCGTGAGGGGACAGGCAGGACTCTGATGATGGGGCTGGAGTTCCCAGGGGCTTTGGGGGGCCCCAGGGTCACGTAAGTGCTAATCTCTGAGGTTTTCCATGTTGGGTCCTGTCTGCCCAGTCCTGCGCCAGAATTTAAAGTCCCTCTGGGGCACCCGAGTCCCCTCTGAGGTGGAGTCTGTGACTGAGACTTCAGTCCCACACGACATGCTGAGCCAGCTCTGAGCCGGAGCTGCCTGGGAGTCTGTTGTTTCATTTTCTCGGCATGAATCCGTTATGAATTACGATAATGATTCATTATACTGTCTCATGCTGGCATGTGCCGATTCTCCCACCACCAGCCAAAGAAATTGCCCTCCTGATTAATTCTTTCCTGTGTTTCCCCCTTCTCTCAGAATGGCTATTCAAGTGGACAAGTTCAACTTTGAGAGTTTCCCAGAGTCCCCTGGAGAGAAGGCGCAATTTGCAAATTCAAAGCAGCTGGAAGAGGAGAGGCAGGAAGCGCGAGGCCTGGAGATCAACAGCAAGCTGGGCATCCGCTGGCGAATCATATCCTTTTCCCGGGGCCCCCGATGCTCCCCGCTGGGGCTTTCTGAGCACTGGGGGGACCCAGGAGGGGCGAGCTGCTGCATTTCAGCCACAGAGAGCTCAGCAACCGAAGAGCCCGTGCTCCCCTCGCCCCTCGCCACGATGAAGCCCGCTAATGAAGCGGTGATTCAGGCCGAGGAAAGGCCTCGGGCTGCGGGGGCGCTGGCCTCGGGTCCGCAGTTCCTGCCAGTGCTGGTATTTGCCTTCGTGCCAGGTTTTGATGGCCACCTCGCAGTGCTGGGCTTGAAGAGCCTCACAGCGAGCGCAGGTTGCAGACATGGCTGGTTCGTGAGAGTCAGAGAGGGCCTTCTCCAGCCCGCCAGTCACTGTTTCTGATGTGTCCACATGTGCACACGTGTGCCCCTGGGCACGTGTGCGTGCCGTGTGCGGTGAGCTGTGTGTGGTGTGTGTATGAGGTGTGGTATGTATGCATGTGTGTGCTGCATGTGGTGTGCGCACCCATGTGCATGCATTCTGCTGTGTGTTGGGGTTTGCACACATTCTGCACACTTTCAAGGGGACAGCTTGAGTGTGTGTGTTTTTGGTAAAAGAATCACAAAATTACAGACCGGAAGCATGGCTCTCACTAGACGCCAGGCGCTGTTCTGAGTAATTTATATAGATTTACATGCTTCAGTTTTAAAGAGACTCTGTGAAGTGTTTTTACCCACATTCCACAGATGGGAAGGCGGGCCCGGGGGACTCGTGAACATGTTGCAGGTTCCGTGGCCTGCAGGTGGCAGAGCTAGGACTTGCACCAGACACTGGCTTCAGGGCCTGAGCTCCCGGCTGTGCCCCAGGAGCGGCAGAGGGGCCACGGTCCCCGCCCTGGCTGCCGGCATGTCCCCACCCTCAGACAGGCCTGAGAAGACAGCACCCAGCCCCCCGCACCCCGAACCCCCCAACGCTGCGCCTCTGAGCAGCCTCAGCCCGAGGAGACCCACGGCGATGGAGCTGCGCAGGCTCTCCCTGCAGCCCGGCGCCCTGCCGGGCCGCTCCTGCTGTGCTGGGCCTCCCACAGCAGGGAGCAGAGCCGGGGCGCCGGCGCCCCTACCGAGAGGAGAATGCCCAGCGTCGGCGCGCTCAAAGTTCATGATGCAAATTGGAAAAGAGAGTCTTGGGGGAGAAGCCCATTAATCACTCCGAGCATCTTTCCATTAGCCTAATTTCTATTTATGACAATTTGCTAATTTATTTGGGCTGAAGTGGGGCTGGGCTAAGTCCCTGCACCTGTAGTCACTGCAGAGCTTGCGTGTGGGCACAGACAGCCCACTGTCCTGGGGGTGCCAAGGGGCAGCCCCCACCCCAGCTCCCCCTCCAGGATGCTTACTGGTTCCCAGCTTTGCTCAGTAGACCGTGTGTAACAACTGGGCGTTCCGAGCAGGGAGCCCGTGGGCTCAGAAGAGCCGGTCACCCGATGGGCTGCACGGCCCCAGGGCAAGAGCGAATGGAGCAATAATCATTTTCCTAAAGTACCCGGTGGGGCCTGGTGAATTTCCCGGGAGGCAGGCTCTTCAGCACCGCGGAGAGCTCCCGGCCGCGGCCTGGCTGAGGAGGGCGCTCCGGCTCAGGGACCCTTGTTTGTCCGGCCTCCAAGTGGGCTGCGTCAGCGCTCGGGCCCAGGGTCCGGCCACCCCAGCCCTGCCACCTCCTAGCTGTGTCAGCTTCTGCAGCCTGCGCGTGGGCCTGCGTCTCAAAAGCCCCTGGAAATGGAAACGAGAGCCCCTACCTTGCGTTCTCCACGTTCTCAAGCCTAAGGTGACAATAGTGAGAGTTAAAAGGAGGGGGTGCCTGTTAAACAGTTACCACTGGGCCTCTCCTGGGAAGGCCGGTGAAAGTGTTCTTCCGGGTAGGAGCAATGATAGCGATTATTGCCGTTGTCGTCATCACTTGCTGACCTCTTGCCCCGAAAGCTGGGGCCTGTGCGTGCCAGAAGCACCACCGGCGGCCACCGCTGCCATGTCCCTGTGACACCGTCATCTTGGCTGTGATAGCGGCTGATTCAGCAGCTGCCTCGCTGACTGGTCAGCCAGCTTTGCACCTGTGTGTTCAGGCTCAGACCAGCCCTGTTTTAGTGGCTTATGGGGCGGAATTAGGGCAGGGGCGGTGTGGACACAGGCACTTAGCTTTATGAGCTCAGCTGCATAATTTTATGGCTGCTGTCCGAGGGCAGACTAACATAGAAATGTGCCATCCGCGTGGTTTCCAAAGCCCCAGGGCCACCGGGTGCCTTTGTGGTGACTCCTAGACTAGCCTGCTGCTCCGGCGAGCCATTTCAGAGCCCCCTGTGCCGGCACCGCCGTCGGGTGCCGCTCCAGCCCTGCAAGCACTGTGGGCGCCTCAGAGATGAGTGTGGTGTTTTCAGTCAGAGGCAGTGACGTGCCATGTCCTGAAGTCCTCCTTTCCTGCAAGGAAATGGACAGGTGCCCGGGGCCACCCGCTGTGCAGGAGAGGGTCCGGCTGGGGCTGTGGGGGCGCAGGCAGCCGGCCGCACGCGGCCTCTGCCCCTGGGCTGGGTCTCTGAGGGCAGGGCCAGGGCTTGTTTCCTGTGGCCTGCCAGGGCCGCGCAGAGTCCTGCCGTCCGGAGAGAGGCCCTCCCAGCCCGCGAGTGCTCACCATGGGGCATCTCCGCTAGGGAACAGCAAACTTCCGGGGGCCGGGCGGGGCTGCCCTTTGCTCAGAGCATGGCTGTTTGCACAGGTGACGCCGCCTGGGGGCTGAGGAGGGGCGGGGAACCCAGGAGCTTCGGCCACCGCGACAGCTCCCGGGCAGCGAAGGAGCTGTGGCAGGCAACCATGGTCGCTCCCGGGACCCACCTGGGGAGGACGGGTGGGAAGGCCCTCGCCCCTCATCCTAAAGGAAGCAAGCCTGGGTGCCCCCTCCTCCCGCCCCCATCCCGTGAGCCTGAGCACGTGCTCAGAGGAGAAAGTGTGGGGGCCAGGTGGGCGGGAGAGGTGGCCTCTGTCCTGGAGCTTGACGTGACCTGAATTTGTCTGTCGTGAGCAAGGACCTGCCTGTGCACGCCCCTTCCCTGGCCCACCAGTCGCTGGCCGTGGGTGCCCCCGGGCAGCAGACGGGCCTTGTGGGCATTTCTCCTGGGAAGTGCTTCACGGAGGGTCCCAGCCCCCAGTCCTGCCCTGCCCCTGAGGTCACCTGTGTCCATCGTGACTCGGGTTGGGCAGCGACTGGGCAGGTGGTCTTTGTGGTCCCACACCGCCTGGAGGCCCAGGCTCCCGACAGGCTCCCCACTGTGCCAGTTCCTGGTGAGGAAACTGGGGTTCGGTTTCACAAGGACAGTGGAGCCGAGGGGCACTGTATCCCCACAGCCGCTCAGCGCAGGTTCCCCTGAGGGGCCTCCGTCGTGGCGACCCCCCGGCTGAGACGAGGGTGCCGCTGCTGTGCTGTGTCCGGAGGGGGAGGAGGACACAGCCACTGACGGAGCGTGCCCACGGCCCGTGGCGCCCCTCAGGCCTAGAGCGCCTGCAGCTGGGGCCGTCCCGCTCGGCGCCCCGGCTGCCGTGGGGCCTCATCTTAGACGCCGCTCGACACCTACTTGACCTAGGGCAGGAACGAGGTGAACGAAGGGAAGTTACCTCCCCGATGGTCGCAGGGCTGCGGAGGCAGTGGGCAGTGCAGCGTAACGTGTGTGGCGATGCCGTCAGCCCGGCAAACAGACTGTGTGTGTGATGAGGTGGAGAGGATTTCATTTGGGAAATTCTTCTTAGGGAGAGAATTATCTTTGGGAGAAACACTTGGGTAAACGGCTGTGGCGGAGTCGGGTCCTCGGGGCAGTCTGAGGCCACCCAGAGGCGGCTGGGGGAGGGCGGACCGGGGCACGAGGGCACGCGTGGGGCCAGGCTTGCTGCGCTCCTGTGGGCTGCACGCGCTCCCGGGGCGGCCCTGCCGGGGCGTGTTGCTGCTAAGCCCGGTTTACAGGTGGCGAAACAGACCCGGAGAGCTTCCGTGAGTTGACCCACATGGCCCCCGGTGGTGGCGTCAAGACTCAGCGCTGGGCCGACCGTCTCCAGCCCCGCCCCCCGTCCCTGCCCCTGTTCAGCTGCCACGGGGCACGGCGAGGAGCCAGCCTCGGCCCTCCACCTCTCCCGGCAGGGCTTCGCCCCGACCGGGCCGGCCGGGCGGCCGCACGTGAGGCAGGTGCCATCGCCCGTCCTGCAGCCTCACCTTCACTGGGGCGTGTGCTCCCAGGTCTGGTCGTTCCAGTGTGCTTGTTGCCTCCCCTGCCATGTTTCAGCCACACTGCGCGTGTCAAGGGGCGTCAACTTGCTGAGGGAAAAAAGGAGGGGGGCCCGCTCCCACTTCCCGATCCCTGGGGTGCTGGGAGCCCAACTCTCCCCTCGGTTGCAATGTAAGTGCTGTGGTTGAATTGACGCAAGAAAAGGAAGGCAGCTTCTGGGTCCGTTTCTGAGAACCACACTGGCTATTTGGCATCAGTGCCTGGGAAGGTCCTGGCTTCTGCATTTCTGAGCCTAATTCCTGGATCTGCTGCCACTGGCGAGAGACTGTGCGAGACCCCCCGGGCGGAGCTCACATGGGCGAGCCCATAGTGCTGCGCGTGATCACACCACGGAGTAGGGCGCGCCGCAGGGAGCCGGCATGCCGCGTGTGTTGGACGGTGAGCCGCAGTTTGGCGCTTTGTTCAGGAAAACCAGCCTCCCGTGTTCTTCACTTCCCCCAGCAAGAACAGCTGTTGGGTTATGATGATCCCGCCGGACGTCTGGACGTGCAGCAGTGTCATTGACCAGAGCTGGGATGGGAGGGGACAGGCATTGTCTTCCACACCCAGGTGATGTCCTACAGGTTGGGTAGACCATCACCTGAGCAGAGAAGGGCTCATTGCTGCTATGGGTGGTTTCCTTCTGGGGAGGCTCTCTGGAAACTTCCGGAACCCCTCTCCTGTCCCAGGGCCCAGCAGGAACCATGTTTTCCTTGACCGAGGCCACCCCTCCCTGAAGCGCACAGGCGAGGCGAGCGTGGAAGGACTCCTGAATCAGCTGGTCCTGGAGCATCTGCAGCTGGCTCCTCTACAGTGGGGTGAGTATGGCCGCTGTCTGACCCTGCGCCGCCCTTCATGCCCCAGGCGCGGAGGTCACCATGGGAACCGTGTGGGGGCAGAGCTTACCACCGTCTGCGTCTCCCCTGAGCACCTGCCTTGACGCGAACTTGAGGAAGGGGCTTGGGCCCCCAAACTGATGTGGGGTGGCGTCAGGCACCCTCGGTTCCAGGGGCTGTCGAGCCTGCCATCCTGGGTGGTGCTTGACCATGTCCAGATGGGTGTGTCTTCTGTCGATGCTTCTGGGCTTCTAGTGACCGGGGTGGTGAAGGGGAGCAAGGGTGGGCCACCTCCTTCCTCTCGTTCCCCTTGGGATGAGCTCTGGAAGCTTCCTGTGCGGCCGGCGTGGGAGGGGCGTCTGGCGAGCACCTTGGCCCAGCTCAGCACCCGGCCCACGTGGTTTGGCATGCAGGGCAGCGTGCAGGCTGCGGGCCTCTGGGTGCGTCTGCAGCGTCGGCGTCGGCCAGGTCTGTGGGTCTCTAAGAGCAGCCAAAGATACGTTGCTGAGAAACAAACTAAAAGTAGTATTTTTGTTGAAGTGAGAGCCTTTATCATTTTATTGTGTAATCTGGGGACAAGTAGGAACAATCCGTTGTTAATGCACGTGTATCTTTGTTTCCTTCACTCAAAAGTCATTGTGGATTAGCATCCGGTGTTTCCTCCAGTGGCAGGAGGAGCTGACTCTCCCAGGAGACACGAGGAAGCAGCCCCAGGGGCCCGGAGGGAGGAGCAAGCCTTCCCTGACCCCCCTTGGCAGCCCGGGCACCACCCGCGGCCCTCTGTGGGCCGCTGCCGCCGCTCCCAGGGGAGGGCCGTTGGAGTGCGCCAGTGGACTTCCTTCACCCCGGCGGCTCCTTCTGTGGACCGCCCCCGCCCCTCATGGAGCCCACCTGAGCGGCCGGAAGGGGGCGGTGCTTCTGCAGAGGCCATCACCGCGGCGCCTGCCGGGGCGCCCTCAGCCCACTGGGATGCGGGGTCGCAGCTCAGGACTCCTGACCATAGCCGGTCCAAGACCCTCCCAGGTGTGGGCAGCCGAGGCGGGTCCGGCGCCAGACCCTCCTGCCCCTCAGCGAGAAGCAGCCAGTCCCCCGAGGAGCACACCGCCACCCTGCAGCTGTGTCCGGGAGCCAGCTCAGGGGCCCCTGGCTGTGCGCGCACTGGCGTCCTTGGCTGTGGGGCGGTTCATAGCGTTCGTGGGTCTGCTGCCCTGTGGACACAGGCCACGTGCCCGTAGTAGGTGACACAGGCTGCGTCGTCGTGCCTGGAGAAGACGCGTGGCTTGGAGCGGCCCGCCCTGAGGCCTGGGTGTGGGCCTGGCCAGGCGCTGGCGCTTTCCCCGCAGTGGGCGGCTCGGCCCCGGCCCCAAACCCAGTCCTGGCGCCGCGCCGTGCGCTCTCTGCAAAAACAGTGGAAAATGTGTTCCTGTTCGGTTCTCGTAATTGATGTGGCTCCTGCCGTATCTGGTGGCTCCCGGTGAGCAGCCACAAATTTTCTGTTTGATTTTTTTGGACTAGACCAAAAAAACTAGTTTTCTAGTTTTGGAGTTAATAAGTCAAAGATGCGAAGACTTTGAAGGCCCTCGGGCTGTTTTGTCAAAGGACCCTGTGCCCGTTGGTGGTGGGGTGGGTGCTGTGGGAGCTGCCGCGAGCATGGTGCCTGGGCAGGGAGTTGGCCTGCCTCCCTCGCTCTCTCACTGGCTTCACTTAGCACAGTGCCCTGGAGGCAAGGGCGGTCCCAGCAAGCCGTCGCAAAGGCAAGGCTTCACCCTCTTCGAGGTGGGTGGTGCTCCATGGTGCCTGTACTCCGCAGCTGCTGTGTCCTGGCGTCCGCGCGCGACACCCAGTTGCTCCCACGACGTGGCTGTTGGGGCTGCGTCTTCAGTGAACACAGAGGCACCGTATCTTTCAAGTCAGTGTTTTCACCCTGTGGATGAATACCCAGCAGTGGAATTGCTCAGTCGTATGGCAGTTCTGTTTCTAGTTTCTGAGGAGCCTGCCCAGTGCCACACTAGTTTATAGTCCCACCGGCAGCGTGGCAGCGGCCCCTTTCCCCACATCCCCGCCAGCACTGTCATTGCTTGTCTTGCTGGTGGTCGCCATCCTGGCAGGTGTGAGGTGGTATCTCATTGTGGTTTTGATTTTATTTATCTGCTCATGAGTGAGACTGAGTATCTTTTTGTGTACCTGGTCAGCTGTGTTCTTTGGAAAAATGTCTATTCAGATCTTCTGCTCATTTTTAATTAGATTGTTTGGGGTTTTTTGCTATTGAGTTGTATGAGCTTTTTTAAAAAATGTTTATTTTAGAGGGGAAGGGAGGGAGAAGGAGAGGGAGAGAAACATCCATGTGTGGCTGCCTCTCGTGCGCCTCCCCACTGGGGACCTGGCCCGCGGCCCAGGCCTGCGCCCCGACTGGGAATTGCACTGGTGACACTTTGGTTCATGGGCCGGCACTTGATCCACTGAGCCACACCAGCTAGAGCTAGTTTTTAATATATTTTGGTTATTAGGTCCTTATTAGATATGATTTGCAAATACTGTCTCCCATTGAGTAGGTTGCTTTTAGTTTTGTTAATTATTTCCTTTGCTGTGCAGAGCTTTTTAGTTTGACCTTGCACCACTTTTTTATTTTTCATTTTGTTGCTTTTTCCTTTGGTGTCAAATTCAAAAAAATCATCACCAAGACTATGCCAAAGAGCTTATTGCTCATGTTTTCTTCTAGGAGTTTTGTGGTGTTCAGGTCTTAACATTCAGGTCTAAAGCATTTTGAGTGAATGTTTGTTTCTGGGGAAAGGCAGTGGTTGAGTTCCGCTGTTTTGCGTGTGGCTCTCCGGCTTCCTCAAGGCTCTCAGCGGTGCCAGCTGGATGCCTGCTGCCTCGGCCCTGCAAACCAGGGGAGGCCGCACCGCGGTGCGGGGGGCGCGGGGGACGGGTTGCAGCAGAGCCCCGCATGCTCTCCGACAGACTGTCTGGAGGGCTGTTTCCAGCCGTTTCCATAGCGACCAGGTCATGGTGACTGATGGGGCTAAGCCACTTGCCACGCTGCTTTGCCAGTCCCGCTGCTGTGCCTCCTGCTCCCTTCTGCAGCTGGTGGCACTTTCCTCTGTAGAGCGTCTCAGACACGCCAGTGCCCGGCCTGTGCTCTTTTTCCTCGGCATCAGGGGCGGGCTGCACTTTGGAGTGGATCATCCCAGTGCACGTTCTCCAAGTTGCCGCCGTGAGCACCGCGCCGCGGAGCGCAGGCGGCGCCCGTGAGGACGAGGGCGAGGCCCGTCTCCAGGCCGTGGCCCCATGCGACTTGGGTGGGGGCCGTGGGGATGGCCCGCCGCCCCGCTTCGGAGAGACCGAGGCGCCCGAACTTTCAGGGAGTATGACGCGGTGACCGCATTCTCCATGCAGTTTGTGCAGCCCGCCCTAGTCTGCGAGGTCCTTGTTACTGCTCCTCTTTTACAAATTAGGAAACAGATTCCGGGGCTGATGTCACCTAAGGCTACGTGGAGCATGCAGAGTCTCTGATGGAGTTTTCCGTTCACTTAGTAAACAGTGGGCCATCGACTACCCAGTCTGCACCAGGTGCCATCCTAGAAGTTCAACTTCATTCCTGACCTTAGGACACCCCCAGCCTGGTGTGGGTGGGTGCCCCAGAGGCAGAGGTGAGAGGCCGCCTGCAGCGCCCTGTGGTGAAGAAGCCGGGTGTGCGCGTGGGCCCAGGGCCCAGGGCCTGCAGCACCGACGCGGCTCTCAGGCCTTGCAGGGACAGGGCCCTTGTGCCTGAATATTGCTCCTTCTGTCTTGGCGGTGCCGTCGGCATTTGGCCAGCTCTGTGTGGGAGCCTGGCCCAGGAGTGCCAGGCAGACAGGCTGCCCCAGGGTCCCCGAGACCCTGCAGGGAGATGCGTCCCCGCTCCTGCAGGGGATCCTTTCATCTGGGTGTCTGACGGGGAGACCTCGTGTGGGGCTCGTGCATGTGTTTGTGTCTCACGTGAGCTTCACACCACATGCCTGCCACTTGTCCCCAAATGCAGGTGTCTCTTGGATGCCCTAGGAGAGGGGTGCGAGAACCGGGCCCCTCCCTGTCCGCAGGGCAGTGGGCGGCCGGGCCTCCCAGGCCACTGAGCTTGCCCGCGGCCCTTGGCCTCTGGCCCAGGTCATTTAGCGACAGTGCCGGGCTGTGGATCCTCCCACTCAGCCCCCGCTGCAGACCTCTGCTCTGGGGGAGTGTCAGACAGCACCCAGGCCCGCCGGCGACGCTGGGCTCGCGGGCCAGGCTAGTCCGGCAGTTTTGGTGCATCCAGGAGGCTGGTCGGCCCGAGCTGAGGACCTTCCCAGGGCCCAGTGGTGGCAGCAGCCGGGCAGTGGCTGCAGGGACTCCAGGAGGTCATTTCACTGTGCCTGTGGCATTTTTGCCAAACAAAAGTCTATAAGCTTTTAAAGAGTAGAAGGATAGAAAAAGTTTATAGTGAATATGAAAATAATAGTGTTTGAAGGAAAAAAAGTGAGAACAAAAGAAAAAGCCCCAAGCCACTCCTAATCCCGCCTTGGGAGGATGACCTCTCAGGACTAACGTGGCCCCTGCCGCCCTGTCATCGGTCCTGGCCCTGCCTGCGTCCTCCGTGGCCCCTGCCGTCAGGGCAGCTGCCTTTATGGGGCGTCCTCGGGGACAGGCCTCAGCTGACGTTTGCTGTCTCTTGTCCTGGGGGCACTCGAAAACCAGAGTGTGTGCAGCACCGGCTGACCCCAGGGCGGCGGAGTGCAGAGCCGTTCTGCGCCGGGCTCCGAGGCCGGCTCCTCGGGTGCGTGCCACCACCGCAGAGGCAGAGGCTCCTGCCCTGGAGTGCGCCCCAGCCAGTCCCGCAGCCAGGGGCTGCTCACTTTATTTATTTGGCAAATACAGACACGCACACACACGCTCCAGAGCGGTCTTGTGCAGTGCCACGCGACGACAGGCACCCCCCAGGCCTCTCCCCAGCCACTGGCTCCTAGCTC